GCCCTGCGATGGGTTGGTGCCCCGTCCTGGTTTGCCCATAGGTGTGAATGCCCTGCGATGGGTTGGTGCCCCGTCCTGGTTTGCCCATAGGTGTGAATGCCCTGCGATGGGTTGGTGCCCCGTCCTGGTTTGCCCATAGGTGTGAGTGCCCTGCGATGGGTTGGTGCCCCGTCCTGGTTTGCTCTCTGCCGTGTCCACAGGCTCCAGACCCCTGCAACATTGAATAGGACATGTGGCTTCAGAAGATGGATGGGTAACTCTTTTTTTTTTTACTTGTGATTAGAAGAGAATTGTATAATTTGAGTTTAATATATAAACTTATTTTTCCTTAAAATATATTTTTTTTAAATCGCGCAATGACAGCATTAGAGACTGGTTCGCTTTTGCGGTAAGAGTCTGAATGTGTGTGATTCAATTTAGCCCTATTAAATCTAGCCGCCAGATGGCAGCAGTGTATAAATTATCAGTACTCTCCTGATTCCAGTCACTGATACTCATGATCGATCTGCAGTATGAGTCCTAATGACTTAGTGCGATTACCGTGTACATAGATACACCGAAGTATACAGAATATTACATAGACCTAACAACCTTTAAAGCATTAGCTGTAATAGTATCCAAAGAAAGCAATAATATGCAAATGAAAATCAATACACGCAAAAATCAGTCGTACCTTTCACTGAAAAGCTTTCATCATTTTAAAAAGTCTAAATTTCATAGAGTACAGGTTTTTTGCCACTGGTCAGCAAAGGTTTAACAGCTTTTTAAATGAAGTCATCAAAGTATCTTAGGAGAACTATAAACCGAGGATCAAACCTAAACTTAGTTGCCATTTTCAGTGTGTACTGATGTCTTCCCGATTTGTTTGCAATCTTTATACCCGCGTTAGTAAATGTCTTTTAAACCCTCCCGGATCCCTCCCAGGCGCGGCGGGGTCGATGCGGGCCGCACGGTTATTTGCATGTCACCCGGCACGGCCCGCGGCTGCGCCCTCTGATTGGCTACTGGGCCGCTGGCTCCGCCTTCTCCGCGCCGGGAATGTCCGTGTGAGAGACCGAGCACGTCCTTCCCGGCGGCTTCCGTATAAGTACCACGGATAGGCTGCAGACTGTTGCTGGAGACGTTTGCGATCAGCCATTCGAGACGGAGTCCGAGCGAAACGGTCCCAAAGCAGCACGCCTCTGCCCCGGAGCCCGCGGGGATTGCGTCGGAGCTGCCTTGTCCTGATCAGCGGTTTGTTCAGGTCGGTACCTTCGCCAGCCTCGTCTGTGTAATTAAAACTAAAGCTTGCATTTTCTCCTTTCTGCCTTTTTTGGTGATCAAAAACGTAGGACATGGTTAATGCATTTTAAAACCAGCTGCATATTCTGTTGTATATTTTAGCTGCTCTTGTTCTCTATTCTAGATGCCAAATTGATATAAAAGATGGCTCTAAAGTGCATTTAATTTCTAAATTGTCTCGCAAGGCTTAAGTAATGAATCCCTGTCCTAATACAGTCCATATATATATTGTAAATGTCTGGTTTCTGACTGGCATTACTAAAGTCACCCCTTCCAATGTTTTTTTTTTCCTTCTCGACGAGAAACTGGAAGATTTTTAATCCATATATTCGTATGCAGTATATTTCTACGTTTACATCGTGCGAATAGTTCTGCGTCGCTTCTGGAAATGCGATCCACAAAGGGCTTGGCACTGGCTCACTATCCTTATTGTGACACTTGCAACCGAAGTACTACAGTGTCCTCATGGGGGGGGGTGGGCTGAAACGAGGCGGGTGTCCCTTGCATTATGGAGTGCATGCATGCATTTTCCACTTACGTAGGTTGAACTGCTATACGGCACAGGCGATTTCTAGTTTAATTCCTTTGCGTGCAGCTGCTTTAATTTAAGACGTAAATTACTTCTTTTAATGTGCCTTGGTTCTACAATAACTGCTATAATTTATTTTTGCAATTACCTGCACGTGCTCGTCTCGCGCTTGCTGCGGAATAAAAGGAACCGGCTTGAAAGTGTAATTTATGGGTCGCAGCTTCGTTATAAACAGATCGCACTTATTCCCGCAAAATAACTCCCAGCCACACCTGATCTCTGAACAGATTGCTGCAGTCGAGGATTGCATTTGAACAGGGTAGTTCTAACGTTGGTTTGCATAGAGTGAGTAACTGGAAATCTTTTGCTCTCTCGCGCGCCTTGATTCCTGTTAACTGCTACTTTTATGGGGAAAAAAGGATTATAGAACATTTTATCCAAAATGTATTTAATCCTGAATGTACCAGTGTAGAAGTTGTACTGCAGCGGTTTGGTTGTATCCTCACTGTTCCCACTAAGCTGCCAGATTCCTCTGACAGCCTTATTCTTTCCAGGGTTTTCAGCTGGTCCTTCTGAACCTTCAACATGATGCAAATCAGCAGCGAGTTTTCCAGCCACAGACACTCACTACTCAATGTGATGAACCGTTTCATCGCCGCTGCCAACAACATGGATGAGACCATCATGGTGCCCAGCCTGCTGCGAGATGTTCCACTGGAGGACCAGGGCCCGACGGAGGACAGAAACCATGGCGATGAGCCCAGTTACCAAGGCAAGCAGAGGGACATGTATGAGCACTACCTCCTGTTGAAGTCCATCAAGAACGACATGGAATGGGGGCTGTTCAAAAGAGAGCTCGGTGGTGGCTCCAGCTTCCTGGAGATGACCGTCAGACAGGAGGAGCCTTGGCAGCCGAGGGCAGAGGGGGTGGACGCGTCTGAAGGCACTTCGGATCTGGAAGGCCAGTTCCATTACCACTTGCGTGGGCTGTTTGGGGTGCTCTCCAAACTCACCCTGCAAGCAGACCATCTCACTAACCGCTACAAACGGGAGATTGGGGGAGGAGACTTGATGAGATAAGCTCCGCCTCCTGTTTAATTATGAACTTCGCCTGCCCTGCCCCTCTTATCTCGCACTGGTGGTGTTTGCTGAGCACAGAAGTGAGCTGCGTAAAGGCCGGTTCACTCCCCTTGTTCACTAGACACAAAGGGCCTTGTACTCCATTTAGCAACTAACATGCATATAGCATATTATCGGTCCTTTCTGAGTAGCGCCCTCCACCAACGCTGTCAAAAGGTGTGGATCCCATGTATTAACTCCATAAACCAGGGTCACTGATTTGAGAAATGTAGACAACAATGCACAATTGTCTAGAATTAAGTGGTTAATTTGAACAAAATGATCTTTTGATAATTACAAAAGTTGCAATTAGTTTTGATTGGAAAAATGATATCCTGCACTACTGCACAAATGAATCCTTTATGTATGCTCTGAGCACAGATTTTGTGTGATCAGTCAGTCAGGCCTGTCATCGGGTGGCGATTCGGCTGCCTGCCGGTGCTCCAGTGCCTGTCGGCGTGTTTCCCTCTTTCCACTTAAGGATACTTTCACTGCACTTTATCTTGAGCGGTTTCCTTGGTGTGTGAACCTGCTGTAATGTCTCATTTCCTTGGCAACCAGCGGTTTTATATTGTCACGCACAGCGTTACTGAGGCTGGTGGCTAAAGTCACACCTGCTTCCATTTTTATCTTGACGCAAAAGCAAATTTATTGGCAACTCGGAATGTCAGGATCGCCCCTGACGTCTCAGCCGGTGACTTCGGGGGATCTTAACCACTAGCGTGTAAACTAGGCCCTTTTTATAATGCTGAAGCACTTTTTCAATAACAGTTGGACTCCGTTGAGAATTGAGCTGATCTGTCAAAATAAACCGTAACTGAAGTTGAACAATCTGTGGTTGTGTGATTAAATTGGGGGTGGGGGTGTTAATTTGAATGGTTTTTCATTAATTTTGTTGACACACTCAGTCACAAGTCATATTCCTTTAATGAACCAACCAATCAGCCAAATTACACTCCCAGCCAATAACTTCTTATTGTCCTAATAATAATTTTTGTTACACAATTAATCACTGCAGACTGAAATACTGAGACTGAAAGACATTAGTATTGGCTCTCAGGTCTTTGTACATATATGAACTCATAAGTTGATTTTGCCTTTTTTGTGTGCATTTGTATATAAAATCCCAGTTCTTTATCCACATTCAAAGTTTATAACTATTACTTTATATGCAAATTCAGTTAGAAGCGCAAAATTGTCTCCAGTAAGTTGGTCCAAATAGTAATAAAACCAATTATAGTTCCATGCACATTTCAGCTTTACAATCACAGTGCTGATTCAGATTTGAATTTCTGGTTCTTGGTGTGAAAAAAGTATTTTTGTTTTTGATACAATCTAAAGTTTTTAAATCAGCGATAGTGGACAGAAGTTTTCAAATAAAAGCTTCTGCAACTAGCCATGAATATTCCTGAATGTCTCTCACCCACATTCTACCCTCTATAGCTCTATAATTGTAGAAGACCTGCCAGTTGGAGCAGATAAGGATAACAGTATGAAAGGTTGATAAAGGGATGCAAGTTTCCAACGTGATATAAGAGTGAGGTCAGGTTACAGGACAGCTCAGCACAAGTGGGCAGAGGCCTAAGAGCTGAGATATACATTTATCAACCAATATATCCATAGTGGAAATAGACCCATTTTGCAGATTCTACTTGCAAAGCTAGTCAATAAAAATTATTCAGGTCCAGAAAGAACAAATACAGACCAAGGTTTTGTTTCATCCAACCAGTAGAGTATAAAGAGTAACAGTCACAGAGTACTCAACTGGTTGGTTGAAAAAAATCCTTGGTCTGGACTTTCACTCTCTGGACCTGGACTACCCTCCTCTGTCGGCCAATTACTTTGAATCACTCTGGATTTTCCTGACTTATTTGTGGCCCTGCAGTTGCCAAGCCCTTCCTTTATCCAGCACCCTGCTTACATTTCCTTTACACACAGTGCATCTTAAACAGGCGCTCCCTGAGCAGACAGACCCTCTGTGGAAATGTTATTAGATAAACTTTCTCACTGATCCAAGCAACCTGCTCCCTAACAGTGAATCATATAGTTGCAACTGAACATACACAGCATGCAGACAGGATCAAGGACTTCAGTACTGTGCGGTTAGGTTTAATAATAATGGCTGTGACGTACGATCTAAGTCATTTTAAATCCCTGCTGGGATTGTCACTACTGCCTGGAGTTTACAGAGTCAGTTCTGTTGCCAGAAACATGTTGTTAATCACAGAAGTAAAAGGAGCATGGCCAGACTTGTTAAAGCGAACAGAAACTTGTCAAGCCTTGAAGTGGATCTGGAGACAAAAGGTGCTCCTACCCAATACTGGACAGAAATACCCACCCACATGCTAAGATGAGATCTGAACTGGATCCAGGCTAAATGTTGCTCAGAAATCCCCACAGATCCATAAACCAGATCTGGCCTGGTGTCTTTTTGCGCAACAGACCAATACTGGCCCGAAACTGGTTTCTGGATTGGAAAAAGATAAGGACCATATACGGGCCAGATTTACATTGAATGTTATCAAATCTGGCCTGTATCTGTAGCAGAGTCAAAAGTGAAATTCAGAGCCATTGTGAATGGGGGCAGTGAATGGCTCAGTGGGTTAAGTCTGTGATCAGAAGGTTGTTGGTTCATGCCCCAACCTCAGCAGACTGCACTGTGCATTAGCTGACCCTGCATTGAAACCCCCAAAGTATAGAAAGTAAGTTTGTTAACTTATTTATTTGTTTGTTAAATGTGGCTCATGCTCAGTTTTTCCAGACTGACCGCTGACCAGTTTTGCCCCAGGATCCCGCCTTCATATATGTGGGTGGTGAATGGATTAAGTCTCCCTGCTCATAGGCAGGAGGTCCCTGGTTTGAACCCCAGCCCTGGTGGAATGGTTGCAGGTCTGTGGGCCCTTGAGCAAAGGCCTACATTGGGAAATCTGGCCCATATGCTGGCTGAGGCTGTGCTCAGATGATAAGGTTATGGAGAAGTGTAGCTGTAAAAGTTTAAATTCTGCTCCAGTATATCTGGAGCAGAGACCTTAATAAACACTTTTATTTGTAGAAGTACAGCTACACATCTCTCCACCTACCATCTTGTTCAGACATCAGCCAACACCCCCAGAGTTGGGAGTTAAACACCTTCCTCAAGGGCCCACAGACATCTAACCATTCCACTGGGGCCAGGGCTCAAACCAGGGACCTCCTGCTTATGAGCAGAGACTTAATCCACTGAGCCACATATATGAAGGCAGGATCCTGGGGCAAAACTGATCAGCAGTCAGTCTGGAAAAACTGAGCATGAGCCATATTTAACAAACAAAGAATCATGCATTATTTGCACAAGTACACTAGAATGCTTCTCTTCACTGACCCTATCTTGCTCTCCATAGCTTGGGGGGAGGAGGGAATAGCAGTACAGGGTTAGGTATTGTGCAGTAGCCTGGGCTGAGGCCAGGACTTGAACCAGCAACTTTCTAATCACAGACATGGAAACTTAGCCCACTGAGCCACTCACTGTCCCCATTCAAGTTGAATCTGATTTTAACTTTTGACTCTGGTGCAGATATGGGCCACATTTGGTAACATTCAATGTAAATCTGGCCCATATATGGTCCTTATCTGTTTCAAATCCAGAAAGCAGATTCGGACCAGTATTGGTCTGCAAAAAGACACCAGGCCAGATTCGGTTTACAGATCTGTGGCGATTTCTGAATGACATTTGGCCTGGATCCAGCTCAGACTCTTCTTGCTATGTGGGCCGATCGCCCCTCAGACTCTCAGCGCATCAGCTGCACATTTGGTAACTGACTGATCGCACGTATATGGTCAGGCGAATGCGTGCCGGACCTTCAGAGTGTATACAGACCAACTGTAATCATTCAGAACTCTGGGGCAGGAGAGTCTGCACCGGAATCTGTCCAATGTTACTGGCACCCAGATTTAAGGTGATGCGGGCAGATCTGGCCCAGAATCAGTTGCTTTGTGGGTAATGATGTGGCCACTGAGTGTACAGTATGTGAGGAATTCTGTCCAATGCTAAGAACCACAGAGGGTCTCCTGACTCGCAGGTTACAGCATGAATGACCCACATCATTGTTTTACCGATTTTTTTCAGGGGTGTCTGCTGTGAAATAAGGTGACATCTTGCATAATTGGCAAGTACTCTGAAGAGCCCCTTTAGTAAGACACCCTGACTGCCAGTGATGTTGTAAATCCAAATTGCATGTATTACATCACATTGAACAGTTGACATGGGGGTCAAAATGACTGGCCAATCTTCAAGCTGTTTTTACTTATTGAAGTCGTCATATACATTTACAAACATGACAAAACACTTAATTTTCCAAGAGGGAAAAAAATCTGTAAGCCACAACCCTAATGATGCTGGAACTTTATGGAGCTTTAGTCCTGGGTTACTGTTTTTTATGCTCTTTGCTTATTTGAGGTAATAAACAGGTTTTAATGTCCAGTTCCCCAATAAAGGACATTACAGATAGTAAAGTGTTGTGACCAGGCATAAATAGGCAGCTAACCAAATAGCTAGAAACACTGGCCTCACGGTGCTTTAAAAGCCAAACAACATTTGTTTCTAACAGACACCAAGGAATGATTACGCAACGTAAGGTTATGAAGGTGAAGCGTGAGAAAAAAGACCCAAAATCTGCAAGCGATTGCTGGATTTCCTGACTGGACCTCCATGCTGAGGGAAAGTTCAGACTGCATGTGTACAGTAGGAGACCTGACAGGTCTTTGCTGTGTTCGGCAGCTCTCAAGCTTCGCTGCACACAGTGACCGGTATTGCTAAACTGTTGCCCTGTCTGTTGGCATCTGTAATGCACACATCTGCCAAGACTCGCCTCAAAGACAAGATCTCAGCAATCGGCTGTTGTCACAAAGAATGTCTCTCTCAGCCATAAACAAACTGCAAGGCCTTCGCTGCAGTAGGTGATGGGAATCACACTGAATGTCATTAAGGATGAAATGTTGTGCACTCAGGTCATATGAGACGCAAGACAACAACACGAGGATAGAGAGATGCTTCGGATACAGCGACATCTGGCCATTAACAGTCCTCAGCAACCGCGCACATTGTCACATCTCCACTACAAAGCAGATCGTAACTGTGGCCTGATCAGTCCATTCTTCTTCAGGAACCAAACTGGTTTCTATAATTTAGCAAGTTTTGCACTCATTATGTATTTCATGCTTCTAAGATACGTTTCACACTGATTCTCTAAATTTAATCTGCGTATCACTGAAGTAGTGGGAAGCAGACCAGCAAGAACGGGAAAACTGAACAAAGTCGAGGGGACGAAAAACATGGAGACTGGTCGGCATCTGCAAGCTGGGTGCAAAATACACAGAAAAGCCATTTATATTATACCTCCTATCGGGTCAACTGGAGTTTAGAAAACTTGTCCTGTTGTCTTTTGCAAAAGGACAACAGGGATAATTCGTATGAATTTCCACTTCCCAAAGGGAGTTTTTATTCTGCATACCTTCCTCAATAAATCTCTATCATAAAAGAGAAACTTCTATTTTAATTTCTCTTCCTTCCTACTACGCGTGTGTCCTGTTGTGTATGAGCACCTTCTCTTTTCTGCAGTGAATCTCAAAGCTTGTTTTGCTACTTAATCATATAAGGAATCTTCTTTACATTAATGTAACATAATTATATCGATGTAAACCTGCCTCCTTTACCTGAATACAGGCTAAGTGGTCCCCACATTTGAGATAAGACATGCTCTGTGCAAATATAGAAGGGCCAAATGGTGATTAGCTGGAAGCCAAGATCATGAAAGAGCCATAAAGAGTAACGATTGCTGTCTGAAAACTTA